GAATTGTGGCAAAACGGTTTTTCTTGCATCCGCGCCTGTGACTTAAGTGCGTACGTTCTGCCAACCTGCGCATTTTAAATTTGCTCGTTCCCACACCTCACTTACTTGCCTAGGCCAATACCGCTGGCCTACATGGGCCCGATCCTGATTGACTGTTAGTTCTATAGCTTGACACCATTGATTGTGAACGCGTCATAATAGATCTATCCTACCTTGTGTAAGGGTGTTCCATTTTGCTATCGGTCCGAGACTACACTTTAAAATCCAAACGTAGCAGTTTTGACCAAACCGAGTACCAACAAGAATGTGAAACTATCAACCGAACTGTGTTAAAACTATTACACACCCGTTATTTTTTCCTTTGAATTAGTACTGCTCGAACACGCATTATCATTAACAATTTTGAGAATCTTGATGCCAAACCGAATGAAAAGCCTAATTACGAAATTTTGTCAGATTATCTTCTATTTTTATGAAAATATATCTAAAAAATATAAGTTGATAAGTTAAAAAAAACATGTTAAATGATCACTTGGATGAAATACAACAAAATTCAAAAGGGCATAACAGCTTAAAACCAAAACCAAAACTTTAATTGTGAACTTGAACTCATGTAACTTGGAAAAATGAATGGAATTTCGTCTAATTCAGCAACGACGACTACTGGCATGGCCTATGGACAGAAGGGCGGTACTTTAGTGATTGGGTTACCGATCGAAACTCTCCGGTGGCTCAGAGTGCCATATTCGGCAAAAAGCCCAACCCAATTCGCTGTGGTGCGTGGTGTACAATCTTCTGATTCATATATTCCTGCATTGGAGCGGCATCTTAAGTAACAAATGGCATCATTCTGAAACCGTTTTCGAGCAAGTTACCTAACAAAATGCTGTTTATCGCTTCTTAGTATCAAAACAATCATATGGTCTACATGCAGCCTATATTTGAGGGCAATGCCGAACCTCTAGATTATTTCTACTCTAATGGTATCTCAAAAGTCCAGAGTTTACCAAAAAAACACACGAAATAGAGGCATTTTGGCTGAGAAATACCACAACATGGACGAGGTTATGATTAGAAATCTCATATCGAGTGTTCAAGTGGCTTCAATGGGTACGGAAGGAGGAAAAGGAGGGCTTGCAATACGTTTTTCGTGAGGTAACTTTGGCTTTTTCGACATATTTTTGTTAAAAATAGAAAATAATCTGATGAAATTTCATAATTCGGTTGCCAACAAGATTCGCAGAAATGGTCATGAGCGTACATGCTAGAGCGGTGATAATCCTAAAACCTGACGGGGTGCCATACTTTATCACGGGATATTTATGATTCACCAGTCAAATGTGGATACCCAGTTTGGTTTAAATCCTATTGTGCTGTCGAGTCTTGCCACCAGTGAGAATTCATCGCCCCAAATGGGGCTTGAAGTTGGTTCTCACCGACAGAACGCAGGGGAAGTATCCACTTGACCACACGCGACAGCTGATCAAACCATTTTCACATTATGTATTTACAGTAAAGCACAACTCATCTTAGTAACAAGTGAGCAATGGACGACTTGATTCAGTGTCGAACGGGAATTCGTCGTCTATATAGCAAATGAAGCGTGAACTTGGTAAGCTCATCTGTGATGATTATTTAACCTCCTTCAATTCAGCACTAACCTTCAGAGTGGTAACTCAGTCAGAAACATTCCAAATCTGAGAGCATATCACCGATAATTCGCACACCACGAATAAAACCCAACAGGGTTGAAACGACTGAACACTGCTTGCTAGCTTTTCGCACATGAATGCGCACACGAATCCCCGTACACGACAAAATTCAACATTTACTCGAATCGAACCCTCACCTTTCCTCGTGCTGTAGCTTGCACTGTATACGTTACACTTTTAGTTGCTCTCGACACGGCGGTTTTCATTGGGACTTAATAAGACCCTATCGAACTGTTAGTATTTATTTGCTTTAGCAACAACCCGAGTGCAGCCAAGCGCGTCATGTCTGATCATCATTCCACTTCACCTTACCGCTGAGACCGTTCACACGCACTGATAATGTCACCTAGGCTAGTGATAAATCGTTTGCAAACAAAATGCCCAGCTCTAATACCAGGTAAAATGAAATTTAGTTCACCCAAGCCACGGGAACCGATTTTTTAGTGGTTTGTCAATGTCTGATTATTGTTCTTATATCACTCCTGTAGCAGTGAAATCAGCCCTAGTTACATCCCGATAAATGTGGCGTCGCAAAACAAAATAACCGCAGCTACTTGTGCATCGGAATGGTCGACTAGGGTCAAACACAAGTAGAGGTTTCTCTAAGCAATTATGGAATCACTAGTGGGAATCCTTGGAGGTTCGTTCAAGGCCCTTAAAGTGAACGAACTTTCTATCTGGACCACACTAAAATCTGACCGAATTCTTTGAAACTACAATAACTCACTAGTCTAGTAATTATCTTTTAAACCAATCGTGCGTCAGGTACACCTGACATCCAATAATGACAGTGAAACTTTTCATGTGCTTCCAGGGAAATTTTGTCTGTTCATTATTATACTACTTGTCGCATCATATAAATATATATGATTTATATGATATCATCTACCCGCTTTTAAACCACATATTTCAAGGTGTCTTGTTTACCGACACTTTTAAAATGGACTCTTCCATTTAAGGGCAGTAGAAGGTAAAATTTAGTTTTTCTGTTGCCTCAGAATCGATTACACACATTAGTGTAGTGGTTAACAGTAGAAACGGCAAATTGATCCACCTCTATGCGCACAGTATTCTCCCACCCTGTTTCTCTCTCCCTCTGTCCTCTCCTCATTTCCCACAGACCGATAACTGTTCATGCGTAGTCGAGTTTGGGGAAAGAAATTTTTCACATCTGGTCCAGTTTTGATGTGACTCATTTTGCTCGAGTGTTGCGATTGGTGCAGAAAAACACTCTCCCCCGCTCATCCACGCCACTGTGATCACAATTCAGTCTCATCCAATCAGAGAACTCAAAAGGATGGCGATCACGCGACATAAATTGATCCTTGATTTGGAAGTCATCATAATCTCGCCCAGTCGCGGAATATCCTCACCATGCTACCATCGGAAACAGCGGAGACGAACGTGAAACCGACCAAAACTAGACTCATTCGGAAGTTGTTAAATCGTCAAAAGCGTCGTGGAAATCCCGACAGTAGTCGCTCCACAAAATGGGACACCAGCGTGATCAATTCAGCAGTGGGTGAGAATGGATTGGAAGTGAGCGAAGGTGAGCTGCAAACCCTACGTCTCACCATAAATCAACGGGAACGACAACGCATGCAAGATTTGAATCAGGCCATGGATGGGTTGAGGTGAGTGCAAATCAAAAGCAGTCTATCGATGCGTTCAACACTTGAAATCAGTTAATCTTTAATGTATTCCAACACACTAGGTCTGACACATGTTTATTATTTATACCTCCATGTATTATTGTGGCTTAGAGAATTTCTAAACGTGGTTTAATATGCGGTCACTTACGTTTTTATACTTTTTAAATAGCAGTTATCCACTACATCCGAAGTAAAACTGTCCAAACGGAGTCAAATAAGCGCTTTGCGCATCCCGTAAGATAATAATATACATCCCGTACGTTTAAATCGATGGACGGATGAAGCGCCATTATATTGTATTGTGTATTGCATCGTACTGCAGACTTTTGTAAGCAGATATACCCGAATTTCAGTGAGCGAAATTTTCACAAGAATCAATATGAAGGTGACAATTTGGTAATAAGACAGTCCACAGGAAGAGGTGGAACCCGGTTGAAGACGATGGCTAATCCACTACGAGGAGTCATTAACTCTTTTTATAAGGAAACCGGAGAAGATTGTAGGGGAACAACAAAGAATAATGAGTATGATTCTGAACAACAAACGAAGAGGTAACGGACTGTTTGGTAATAAATTGCAGACGTATAATGACAACCGTCTGAGTTTGCCAGGATCACTCAAGTTAGGAACAAAACATCGGCGATTGTACCACTAAGGTCCTTGATTGCGTCCACTCTACAAACAGGAATACAGTCAATGTGCGAAGGGGTTTCTCGGAGTCAGCGGAACGGGGAAGATTAAGGATGTACTCAAAAGGTATAGATAATTTGAGACTAATTGATACCTGATTGCAAGGAAAATTTCTGAATGGCTGTGAGATAAATAAACAACGGACGGACTGCATGCAGAGACCCAGTAAGAATTAATGCCGTGCATGTTGTTATTGCCACCGGTCATATATGCNATGCAAAATAGATCATCCAGCAATCGCAACGGACAAACGCACTGGGTAACTAACCAACGGACTACAGTTTGCCTATACTCATATAGGTTTTCATGGTCCAACTTGTTCACCGAGAAGGTTAGTAATCTAGCCGAATTTTAAGTTAACCGATGTTGGATTACTAGGAATATTCACTAAATTTACCCCATGTACGAATTCCGACCAGTTGTGTTATTTCGTTGAGTTGATGAATGAGAATTCACCCTCCATGACACGCTTTGAAGTGATAAAATGTGAAATTTCACCATATTTTCACAATCTTGTTCGATTGCATATTTCTAGGGCCCGTTTACTGTTTCCTTAACGATACTGATGCAATTTACATGAGAGAAGTAGAAGATTTGGTTTGGTTGTATGGTGAATTTCGTCGTGTATGGAACAAATAATACGTGAACTGAAAAGTTAGGAAGTACTGGACAACTGTTTCCACCTCATTGGGTTTTCTATCCCTAAGTCCAAGGAATTTTACGTTACTTCCATTTAATTTTTACTGACAACGAGACACCATTCCAGCAAGACGCCAACAGAGCACCAAATCAAAATAAAATTTTACATATTCGTGCTTTTTCAGTGTTGTGAATCCTAACTAATGTGGAGGATATCTTAGTACGAACTGACACTTGAATTTCACGGTCCTGCGCATACAGCTTGAAGCTGTTGCAAACTAGGGCGTTTTGTGCTACTAGCACATGCAAGAAAAGCACTGAGAGATGGCGCTGAGTTTCTAAGATCTTTCTGTACTATGCTATGCAACACTCTACCATCGCGTGCTCACAGAAGGATGTAAATATCAATCGCCTGAGCGTAAAACAAACCGAGAAATACACAAACAAAAAATATCCACTCTTCCAGGTCTCAATCGATGCATTTTAGTGTGATTTCGTGCCATCACGCAAGTTTCCATTCCACTGTTGTTTCTGACCAAATCACTTTTGGTCCGGATTGATGATACATTCCTGCCGGAAGTGAAATCACATAATTCACCCAACTTTCGTTCCCCCCGTCTCCCCNCCCCCCCCCACCTCATCCAACAGATCTGTTCTACCCTATTCGCATGGACCTTCTGTTCGCAAGTTATCGAAAATCGCTACTCTATTACTGGCCAAAGATTATATTCTACTTTTAACTGCCACAATTCGTGACTTTGAATCGCATCGTCCGACCGCGGAATCCAATCCGATTGATTATTCTTCCGCACACATCGGACAGGCGACCTACAACCAAATGATCAATCTTGATGAACTGTTGTCCAAAAGCCACGCATTTAAACACTCGACCAATTTTGATCAGTCACTTCCTCAGTCCTCAAAACCCACCTATTCGATCGCAGCAACATCATTTAGTTCACCATTCATGCC